AACCCCCCGTTCTTGGTTATCCGAGAGGAATAGCCGTATGTACGCTTTTACTCGGTACGTTCTACGCGGTTCGTTGTTCAAGAATATGCAAATAAGGGATAAAAATAAACCCCCCGTTCTTGGTTATCCGAGAGGAGAGAGAGAGAGAGAGAGAGAGAAATTGACGAAAAAAAAAAAAACAAACAGAATGAGAGAGACATAAGAGTTTACCAAATATACTTCCATCAACTTTACTTACTGCCCCCGTAAAATCCACCCTTATCCGCGAATTCGAATTATCCGTTTTTAACATGTCCCTTAGGTCCCCTAACACCCCATGAAAAAGAGGATAGAAAATCGATCCGGCTTGACTATCCTGTATTGCGCGACAGCGAGAGGAAAAGATGAATATAGGAGCTGGTGGGCTTTTCTCGTTAAAAAATAAGGGTGAGTCTTCCTTTTGAAAAAGGGATGTAACCAAAACCCGGAAAATCCTCCATCTATCCGTATACGGCACGTCGAAGGGTCTCTATTTGAAAAATTTTCACAAACAAATGTTAAGCCCTTTTTCTTTTTTCTCCTCTTCTTAATCTCCCTTCAATATTTTTATTGTTAAACAAAATTTCATACGTACCGCTGGGCTTTGACGTTGAACGGATTACGTAACGATTTCATTGTAATTCGAGTAAAAGCTTCTACCCGAAATTTGCCTGTTTATCAACTGCCAATGGAATGTCGTTCGAATTCTGTATAATGTAAGATTATGGTGGGGGGGGAGGGGGGGTTGGAAGGGAATACAATGCGTATTTAATTAATTGAAGATTCAAAGCTTTCGCAAACTTGTCAAACCCTCCCTTTCGACGTTCCTCGACATTTCGTATATATACGCAGCATCCCGTTACGCATTGATGAAATAGTACTTGCCCGATGACGAATTCTCTCAGTTTTTGGAGAATTGAGATATTACCTGAAGAGTAATAAAATCATTTCAATATGGCAAGACAAGTTTATCTGTCTGAAGAAAATTTGGTTATTTTAATTTTGCCAGTCGTCGAGAACAATATACTCAATCACGAGGCGAGAGTGCTTTGAGAATTTATGATGTTCTTTTTTTTTCTTTCTACTTTTTTTCGACAGATTAACCTTTAGTTTCGTGAAAAGATGCTTGATCCGCCGGTTGTAAATTTGAAAGTGATCGTTATCGGCAATCCGAGTCTAACCGTACAGGAGAACAGTCTAATCATCTCGAATCAATGGTTTCCCAGTATTTACAAATTTCTTAATAACGTAAGCATCGATTTTTACTATAGCATTCAGTAAGAACGTATCGACTGAAGTTGGTCTCTACTATAGAAATCAAATTAACAGGCTAACTTCGGGTGGTGGGTTTTAGTCTGATATGTTGTATATACAGAGTGACTCAAGTCAAATCCACCATATGATATTAGTCTGTTCATTTGAATTCCATAATAGAATGACTTGCAGGTGGTACATTCGAATTGATTAACCTTGTATACATAGAACATAGTGTCCGTCAGTCATAGGATTTTGGTAATTTATTTATTTTATTTTGACTATAAAAAAATGGGCCTCGACTTCATGATTTTACTAGTCATTTGCTAACGCTGTTTTATACATATATAGAAAGATATAAATAACACTTCTATCTTTCAAATCTCCAGATTATCAACCTGTGTAACGAACAACCCCATCGTATTTACTGGCGTCTAACAGAGCTGGATTATCTTCCTATTTACGATTACTTAAGCCTGAAGAGTGCTCTGAACCAGATGCACCAACAAGAGTAAAAAAAAATGTCAAACCCACAATGCACTGTGATCTTTTTTTTCCCTTTTTTTTTTTGAGCTATAACGAAATCCCCCATAAATGCCCAAGCTACGGTAACGCCACTGTAAACACAGTCGCGAATATCTTTCCAGGATTTATATCGTTCAGGACGAAAGGCCCTACGTGAATTCGCAGATAAGTGAGGCGAAACACGTGGGAAATTTATCCAAGGATTCCCATAGGCTCGAGTTCAATTCTTACAACGCCGATTCTCTTCTGTGGGCCGACGATGAATTTTCCTCAATGTACCTACTGTCGGATTTGGAAATTTTAAGGGTAAATTTGACTTTTTCATAGTTACCTTTTCACCCCCAAGATTCTTTTCCCTTAGACCTCTCACCCGCAAGGAACTCGCTCAATGCGAAATTATACGGCTCTTTCTCTTTCATGTTTTTTCGATTTGATATATTTATCCGTAGGTAGGATATATCCGATATATATCTGTAATATTTGTTCATGAACTTTTTTCAAATTGTTCAGTGCGCAGCGCCCTGTTACCTTCCCGATACGAAAGTTCACTTTAGTTATCTGTTTACGAAGAGTCCACCGCTGTTTACTCGAGAACGAGAAGACATCCTGAGGCAGCTGAGGATCCTTATGAAGGGTACGTGGGTAAGGGGGGAACGAGGGGGGGGATGGAATGAGAAAAGTTTTAACGGGAGAGTGGGGACGGGTGGAGATCATATGTGTCTGAGAAGATGACGTGAATCCGGTCACATGATCTGGGTAAAAAAAAAAGAAAAACAAAAATTGATGAGTGAAACTCGGTACGAATTAGTGATAAATCTGACGGGTAAAATCTCTGAGTCAGAACTATGAGATTCTCTTTACAGGTGTTATGCAATTATGACGGCACTTTGTTGCTGTTAATACAAAACTTGAAATTTAATTTGTTAGACGTTCGTTAGACTGATGGCTAATTGTGACAATGACTAATTATGGGAAATCTGCTGTGCATCGATTTTAGACTTTGAGACTGTAATATCATGATTCCCTTGGGTTAATGGAAATTGGGGCTTTTGAAATTTTGCGAATGCACCTTGGTAAGGTGATCACTTGATTGCGTAGTGGGTATTGAACTTTCTTTTTCGATTTTATCAAATTTATTTATGTATTCAGGTTATTAATTTTTGTCAGACCTATCTCATTGGGAGATTGCAAATGGTTTGATGAATTTTGGTTTTATTTTGATAATTACTCTGACGACTGAAGTTTCTCGAAGTCATAGTAATCCCTTGATGTCTCGTGCAATTTCTCTTTGGCTCAGGGGTGGTTGGATTGTCTTGTACTGTTGTCAGCCAATTAATGATATAGTCTAACGCAATTAGAAGCTGGTAAACAATGGGTCGGTAATCTCCATGTGGATTCTAAAGTGTGAACAGACATATATATGTATATATGTATATATATATACACTTCAAAGACATAAATTTGGTTATAATTGCTATAACGATTTTGATGACAATGAATATAAATAACTATCGAAATTTGTATATTAATTTATTAAAGTCGATTCTGTGAAATGATATTGCGTCTAGTTACCGTGAACATTAAAATTATGATTATTATTATTTTTTGTTTAAACAACTAAATTACAAAGGTTGCTCACATATAGTGTCTCGTAAGGAGCCACCAAGCTTTTCCTTCTTGACGAACCGTGAAATTTGTGCTTTTCCCAGTAGACTTTCCATCCCCTATTTTTAAGGGATGAAAGTCGCGCCCTCGCCCCACGTATCTAGTAGATTTTCCGTTTGAAGAGTCATCCGCTGCTACTTCCGAAGAGGGCAGGCATAGTTACGAGGTTATGCCAGGTCTCGTTCGAAGCCGTTGGGAAATTGCTTTTCCGACAGTAAAAACATATATTTTAGTATTTTCCCTCGGTGACTCCGACTGTGTGATCCGCAAATCCGCATTCGCCATCTTTATCTTTCTCTTCGTATTTCCCTTTTCTAGCTTTTTCACCGTCGTCACAATTTTTTTTTTCTTCCGCCTCCTCCCCCCTCTCGCCCCGTGCTACCTGAATTTTATTTTCCTTTATTTTTCTTCCCTTTCTATCTCCCGCCGTTCCATTCCCGTCTGAGGTGTAGTCACTCCTGCGAAAATCTCTCTCAGTAAATTGAATGGCTTTGCGAGCACGATGAAAGCACCTAATAAGTTCTTCGACCTTATTGAAATCTCGATTTCTACGCCATTGGCTCTGAGACGTCTCGCATACGTCATTCTCAGGCGCTAATGTACTTTTCCAATTACTCATAGCCATTCGGACACGGGCAATGTTCAATTTTGAACCAGAGCACAAATTTCAAATTGGATGCCGATTGCTGTTCTTCTTAACATTCAATTTTTCACTCCCAGTCTTTGGTTATTTTCAATTTCGTCAAACGGTCCAAACTTTTTCGTCCCTTATTTCTCCTTGGACTCTGCATGGTCATGGTTCCGCAAAAAAAAGTCTCGCTATCGTGCATAAAGTGCATCTCGCCGTTCTTTATTACCTCACAAATACTCAAGTACGACAGCACGTTACTTTTCCCGCAGACAATTTTCTCACAATTTTACGGGCGACAAATTTCGGGTTAACTCCAGAGGCCCGAATCGTTAAACGCATACGAGCTTGCATCAGGATACGTAGCTACCGGGTGGTTAAATTTTTCGTCTCCCTGCGTCTCCGTCTACTTCTCTTCGTCCACCGACACGAATGCGGAAGCTTCGCCAGGGCGTTTAAAATGCACAGTGCCGTGGTGTTAGAAGCAGCACGTACGGATTTAACACGGGAACTGGAATTACATGATGGATGATCCTTTTGCGCCTGATACGTGCAAGCATAAGCACACAAGTCGTATACTTCGCACGTCGTACTTGTATACTTATTCGTAAATAATCTTCGCTACGTGAGTCGACTGCCCGGCTATGGTTTTTGATACAATTTTTTTTAACGATACAGGATTTCCAAAGGAAAGAGTGAATCCGGTTGCCGAAGCACTTCCGCAATGGAGAAAACATCAACCGGCACCGCCAAGCAAAGGAAAGAGGAAGAAGAAGTAGAGGAGATCGTGAAAAATCTTTTCCTCTTGTCACTATAATAGAATATCTTTTTCTTTTCCATTAACCTTTATACGCATTTGTACTTTTGTCAAGTCACGTAAAAAAAAAAAAAAAAAAAAAAAAAATATGTCTAGCAACCTCTCAGGACAAAGGAATAAAATAAACGTGACTCTATACAGGGTTGTAATTTGATGTTGCGATTAATATTTTTTTTTTAATTTCTCTGAAAAATTATTAGACACCTACGCGCACGCGCGTACCTTGTCGAGGCTCGTAATTCTCCTCGGGTCCTAATGATCATTAAGGGGTTGGAAAATATAAAAAGAAAAATCTCACTAGCGTGCCGGGAAGGTCGTAGGGGTGCTTGCGCGAGCGTTTGACCTACCCCACCTCGGATGCTTTAACTCCGGTAGCAAGACCCCCCCCCGTCCAACCCCTCTTCCTCGACCCTCGCTCCCGCCTGCCACCATTCATAGCGTAATTTATTCTTCTTATTAATCTTTTTATCGGTCCCCAGGGTGCCAGTTTCTCCTACCGGCCATGATTTATGTCGTGAACCTTCTAAGACAAATACTTTTTTCTTCTATCCCATTCCACTCGCCGCCCCCCCCCCCCCCCCCCCCCCCCCCCCCCCC